TTCGGCTGATAAGTCAGCAGCACCCAACAGCAGCATGCAAGATTTATTTCCCCAACACCAGCACGCAGCGTGCCGAGGCCGGGATGGGGGAGGGGGGGGGACGGCCTTGTTTCCCTCCCCCCCCCCACACACACTCTGCTGCAGGTGGAGCAGAGAGTGAAGTGCTCTTCAGGCTGAAGGAGAAGGAGGCGGCAGCAGCAGCAGCAGAGGTGGCCTCCACGACGGGCTCAGACCCCCCCCCCCTCCCCCCAACGTGGCATATAAAAAGCTGACTGCGAGCCCGCGGCGGAGATTGCGCTGGAAGCTCACAGCGACCCTGGCCGCTTTCTTCCCTTCGTGCGATTATTACTGGATTCGGGTTAATCTTAATAATCTATGTGTGTATTAATCTGTCATGGCAAGAAAATCGTCAAAGAGCCTTTGTCGTGCTGGGCCACATTTAGCGGTTTCATAAGTGTGAGAACATTGTTAGCTCGTAAGAAAACTGAAACACAGTTCATTTGTTAGCATGAAGCTAGAGAGAGTTGTTTTTTAGATAATTGTTGAATTCTCTTCTTCTCTTCACGCCCGGCAGGAATCAAGACATATGAAGAAAATGAGGGGAAAAGGAGAATTGTTTTTTAATTTGACACAATTTACTGGGTTAGGTCTCTACTATATGAAATGTTTGTGCCCATAATGCTATTTTTGGGGTGAGTGGCTTTGGTTGGAGGCTGAGGCGTCTTTTTCTCACAGGATCTCGTCGACCTTTGGTGTGTGTTGGCAACACTGGATTATTCCAGATCTAGTGCACTCTTGATGGTTTGTGCAATATTACTACATTTGATGTGTAATTTTCATTGCCAATTAATCCACCAATTGTTTTCTTAATTAGTCCGTTTATCTGCAACCATTATAGAGTCCAATGTGTAAACGTGCGTCTTACATCAGCTAACTATCACATGAGACAAAAATAAAATCCTCTTCTTGCTCAAAAGAAATACTCAATCAACGAGGAGAACATAGTCGATGCATATTCATTTTATGTAGATCAATTTGTTGACAAAAAGCCATTTAAAAAGATCATGCTAACAGTATTCTATATTTATTTTGAATTTATTCTACTAATAAGTATTTTCTGTGTGATTTATCCCCTTTGTTCCAAAGATCTCCACTAAAGTCCAAAAACTACAAGAAAATGAATAATTGTTGCAGCGGCTGCATATTCCTTCATTGCAGCAAACATTGGTACTTATTATGAGTCGCTTCTACGGATTCACCAAATGTGTATTTATCCACAGCCAGAAATACTCTCCTATTAATCCGCTTGGTGCTGAAAGGCCGCACTACCGCTGCCAGCCTTTGTAGGATACTAATGACCCTTTGGAGCAGAACAAAAGTGTGCATTTCTGACCCGTTTCCAAAAATGTAGCTCTTCAATAGCAACAGATAAGCTTCTGAGCGCCACAGGCGAGAGTCGGCAGGTATTGACGGACGGACAAACTCAGCGTGGGATTTGTAGACAATAATAAAGATGTTGGAAGATGTTAACATGTTAGGAATTTACCTCACATGCACATTGCTCCTTATGCGAGAACCACTCCCACACACACATTCATTCTTAAGTGTTTTAGAGGAAGTAGATGCATTTTTATCTTAATTTGAATGGTCCCTCACTTGTGTAATTAGTTTTTTTTTAAACTAATACGTTGTAATTACCTTACTTTGAAGCAATTTTGAGAAACTTACTTAAATGACATAAGAACAATAATCATTACATCATTCAAAATGTAATGTATGTATACAAAATGCAATTAGCCCAACATTATATAACGGTCAGTCCGACCCTCAGGTGACACATTAACATCGCTGGTGATGTGTTTTTAGCAGGTTCCTTTACTCCCCTTGCTAACGCCGTTTGAGTCCTTTATGGATGGAAGGCAGGACATTGACGTGAGACACACGTGGGACGGGACGCGTCGCCTTACGTGGTGTTAATGGCGCGTGAATGCAGCCAATCCTCAGTCCTCATGAAACCAACCGTTTACGCCGCTCATTTGTATCTTCTCAATCCTGAACGTGTGTTTTGTAGAGACCCAGATGGCCGGGGGAGGTTACGGGGAGGTCACGCGGCGAGAAGAGCAGCGAACGTATGCAAATGTGATGAATCAGTGGCGACTGAATTAACAGACATTGAGTGAGCCGGACGGCCCACCGAGTGGCCGCGGGCTTCTTTCTCCCTCACAACCAGGGACGTGCCACATTTCGTTCCTTCAACACCCACTTGGATCAATTGCAAATGACTGATCAGTAAGTTGCATAATAAAATGTCACTTAAACAATTTGGCCTTTTTCTGGAAGTCTTGTTCCAGATTGTAGAAATGCAAATTGGGACATTTGTCATTTTTGTCACGCGGGGGGGGAATAATGTTTTTGTACATGGATCAGTCCAAATTCCCCCACGTAGAACTCTGAGGGGAAATGTTTAATATGCCAACAAGCAAAGACAAACATCCAAAATCAAAAAAAAAAGTGCCTGCAAAGCAAGTTGCTCAATAATGCAACATTTCTTCTTACGTTTGATCCTCGTAAATGTAAAATCTTTGTCAATTTGACTTGTGCGGAGCAGTGTTAACACATCTCTTCTTGTCTTCGCGCCGTGGGACTCCTTTCTTCTGCTTCTTCCGTCAGCGCCGCGCTGGAGTTGTAGACATTCGGTCACGTGCATTAAAAACCCACGAGCTCGCTTCCCCCCCCCCACGACTGCGATGGCCTGACGTCGTGGGTCTAAGCGCTCTCACAGACTTTATGTAAGCCTCCTTGCTATGCACGCCCTGATTGAGGCATAAGTTACCCCCACACTTTCCCAACAAACTCATTAGAACAAACAGATTGGGCAAATCACAGTGGTGTCGCAGATAATGCCAGTGGCTGCTGGTGCACTGAGCAGAAAAGTGCGGGTGGGAGTGTTTTTTATGTTGCTGGCAGGATTTTAGATGTAAGCAGCACTGCTTTCAGAGGCTGTGAATACATGTTGAGTGTGCCTAGATGGAATTAATCCACTCAGTGTTCCACCGACAAAGGGAGGAAATATGTTTGGAGCCATTTTTTTTTTTTCTTCCTTCTGCAATCCCTTTATTTCATGAGGCATTCCGTTCCGATTAAACGTATTCAGATCGAATGTTTCGCGGAGACGGCGTTCGCACAAGGCTACAATTACTCCGTGAGTGATTGTTCAACGCGCGCGTTGCTGAATTTTCTATTAATCTTTAAGCGCTCAGGCGGAAATGCCACGAGAGATGTGTTATTGACGGCTCACATTCCCCCGACGCGCGCGTGTTTTTTAGCCATGTGTGACATTTTGTTCTTTCAGGTGGCGGCACAGAGTTGCTGTAATTCCAGCCAGACACAAAAAAAAACGAGCCCCTGCCAGCGGGAGGCGTCATTCGATCCGTTTCCCCTCCCAACACCTCGGCTTGGCACGGCCTGGCATTGGCCTGGCTGGTCCCGCTGAATTCCACACGCGGGGCTCGTTTCTACCGATTAAGCCGGCCGGTCATCCTCACCGGAGAACATTTCCACCTCACTCAACAATATTTACAGTTTAGAAAACACCTGCCGTGATAGACTCGTTTCCTCGCGATGGCGGCTGGATGGGAAGAGGAGGTTAACAGATAACCGGGAGGAGTGGGAAGGAGACAGGGGGTAAATACTCCTACGTGAGGACCACGCGGCCTCGGTTAATGGCTCTCGTGGGAAGACGCTGAGTGGAGGACGGACGCCGTGCCGTTAGATTGAACGGCGCGACACAATGCCGTCGCGTTTTATATTTTCCCCGGCATGCATGATATGTTCGGGGTACGGTGCGTATTGATTTATTTGTTGGGTACCATGCTCGTGGGCAGGAGATAATGAGGGGCGACAGCAGCGCATTAACATTGCTGTGTGGAAGTGGCAGGTACGTGCTGTACCGTTTGTGTATGAACGTCTGGGTCTATTTTTACCACGAGCACACTCAGGCTGAATGGACTAATCTAATCTGATTTAATCTAATCTAAGATAACCGAGTAACGAGTTTCTTGTCAGTCACTTGATTTGGGAAATGATAAATCCTGCTGTAGTTATTTAAAGGCAATGTTGGGCCTCTCCACCGTTAAATCACGCTGTTCGTGGGACATTTTGTCCTCACGGCGAATAATGTCAAGTAAAGAAAAAGCCATTAATCATGAATCAATGAAAGAGTTGTTTTTGTAACCCCAGGATATGAATTGCAGATAAATAATTACAAAGGCAATAAAAAGGATGTAGAATATTGCAGAAAAATGTCAAAGTAGAGAAAAATGCCCATCATTGTTTTGTCATTGGATAGCATGTATTTATCAATGGCTTTGTGTAAGTTTTACATCAGGATGCGAGCTGTAAAGCGACAAGAGCAGCTGGATCTCCTCATTCTTTGCATTCATGCATTTTACAGGTTGCATTTGTTTGTTTTTATATTGTTGTTAGCATGGACATATTGAGTTCATTGAGCATGGTGCTGAAATGCCAATGTTAAATTATTATCTAACGTCGCTTTTGGGGTATTAAATCATTCCAGGAGCCCAATGAGTAAGGGGCTTGCAAAGAATTGATCTAATGCTTAAAGTTGTCTTTGTTAGTGCAGATGCATGAGCTTCTCTGAAGTATGTAAATCTGGGACAATCCAGTGTTAACAAAAACAACAAAAGCTAACAAAGACAAAATTATATTCTACATTGTGCGTGACAATTGAAGCCGTTAATTCATCTTGCTCTTATTTCTTCTACATTCAATGAGCATTTTAGCATTTTAATTAGATTCTGTTGACCAGATTTTGATGAATTGTTTGGACTATGTGCAGGAAAAGAAATGGACAAAAATACCTATTATAATTTCCCACAGCTTCAAGTTGCATCTTCCATTTATTTCTTTTCTGTCAGTTCATTCTCTGCCTTCTTTGTGTGGTTTACTAAATGTAATCCTCTCTTTTCTTGTTTCCACAGAGAACACAAACAGCAGATGAACTATGAATGGTGAACAAAATGATCTCCTCCCTCCAGCGCCAGACAATGAGAGGTCGTAGGCTGAAGGGGGCGCTGTCCAACCCCCTCTTTGTGCTGCTTCTGGCCCTCCAGATCCTGGTGGTGGCCGGGCTGGTCAGAGCGCAGACTTGTCCTTCCGTCTGCTCATGCAGCAATCAGTTCAGCAAAGTCATATGCACCCGCCGCAGCCTGCGGGACGTCCCAGATGGCATTTCGACAAACACTCGCTACCTGAACCTCCAGGACAACCTAATCCAGGTCATCAAGGTGGACAGTTTTAAACACCTGCGCCATCTGGAGATCCTGCAGTTGAGCAAAAACCACATTCGCAACATTGAAATTGGCGCCTTCAATGGACTGGCCAGCCTCAACACCTTGGAGCTCTTTGATAATCGGCTTACGACAATCCCCAATGGAGCATTTGAGTACTTGTCCAAGCTGAAGGAATTGTGGCTACGGAACAACCCCATCGAAAGTATACCATCTTATGCCTTCAACCGGGTCCCCTCGCTCCGAAGGCTGGATCTAGGCGAGCTCAAACGTCTCTCCTACATTTCTGAAGGAGCCTTCAAGGACTTGAGCAACCTGCGCTACCTAAATCTGGGAATGTGCAACCTCAAGGAGATCCCCAACATCTCACCCTTGGTCAGGCTCGAGGAGCTGGAAATGTCTGGAAACCAGCTGTCCGTTGTGAAGCCCAGCTCATTTTTAGGATTGGTGAACCTCCAGAAGCTGTGGATGATGCACGCCCAGGTCCAAACTATCGAGAGGAACTCCTTCGACGACCTTCAGTCAATGGTGGAGCTCAACCTGGCTCACAACAACCTCACCTTTCTACCACACGACCTCTTCACGCCACTGCATCGCTTGGAGCGGGTCCACCTCCACCACAACCCCTGGAACTGCAACTGTGATATCCTGTGGCTCAGCTGGTGGCTGAAGGAGACGGTACCTGCCAACACCAGCTGCTGCGCCCGTTGCCATTCTCCTGCGGTCTTTAAAGGTCGCTACATTGGGGAATTGGACCACAGCTACTTCCAGTGCGATGTTCCCGTCATCGTGGAGCCACCCAGCGACTTGAACGTGACAGAGGGCATGGGCGCCGAGCTTAAATGTCGTACAAGCTCGCTGACGTCCATCAGCTGGCTCACGCCAAACGGCTCGTTGGTGACCCACGGGGCTTACAAGGTGCGTCTCTCTGTACTCAATGACGGGACGCTGAACTTTACTAGCGTCACGATGCAGGACACTGGGACTTACACCTGTATGGTTAGCAACACAGCGGGCAACATTTCTGCCTCCGCTGTGCTTAATGTCACTTCTGTGGAAAACAGTGGGGTGACCTATTTTACCACAGTCACCGTGGAGACCATTGAGACCCCGGGGGACGATAGCCAAACGCCGCTTCCCCCATTTGGCTGGGTGTCATCCTCCACGACGAGAGGTACTCCCGTTTCAACAAAGACCACAGAGCGGACTTACACAATTCCAGTTCTCGACCCAGATGGAGAGGGTCCCCTCAACGGTCTGGATGAGGTGATGAAAACCACCAAGATTATCATCGGCTGCTTCGTGGCCATCACGCTCATGGCTGCTGTGCTTCTGGTCATTTTCTACAAGATGAGGAAGCAGCACAACCAGCAGGATCCCGATGGCCCCGCCTCCTCCATGGAGGTCATAACAGTTGAAGAAGAGCTCGCAGGTGTCGCTGCCATGGAGAGGCACCTATCGATGCCCCCCCTGGAGCACTACAACCACTACAACACCTACAAGAGCTCCTACCACCACGGTCCTATGCTCAGTACCATACACAGCTCGGTCACACAGGAACCTTTACTGATCCAAGCCTGCTCAAAAGACAATGTACAAGAGACCCAGATCTGATCTTGAATTTGACTAAGCATCCAGTATCAGCAGTTTCATACTAGGAGTACAATGGACCAAAAGCTGGAGATAAAAAGGAGTCAAAATTACATTGACTTTGATCACAAAAGCGATGGCGATGAATCAGCATTTGGAAAAAGGGACAACATGTGATACTTTAACGAGTGTCTTTACAAAAACAAAGATTATTTATTATAAGTACGTCTAGTGGCTAAATGAAGAAAAAACTTTTGTGATAGCTTTTTAGCTCATTTTATTTCCCTCTCTCTCTCTCTCTCTCTCTCTCTCTCTCTCTCTCTCTCTCTCTCTCTCTCTCTCTCTCTCTATGTCTCTCTCTCTCTCTCTTTCTGTGTGTGTGTGTGTGTGTGTGTAATACTGCACAAGGGAAGGAATGGTTTGCAAAATGTGAACGTGTAATCTATCAAATGCAGCTCGTGTGAAACCGCGGTACGATTTGGCCTTGAACAGAGAGGCCATTGATTTCATCCTGTGATTTGACCTGATAAAAAAGTGCGTTGCTTCAGTATCTAAAAGCATCCATGTGCGTTTCAGCTGCTCAGCCTACCACGTCCAATGTCGGCAGAGGTTTAAGAGAGAGAGACAAAAACCCAGAATGGGGTCATGTTCATTGCCGTCATATTCAAGCTGTCACTCAATGCAAAATGGGTTCTTTTAATGACACAGCTCCGGATGATATCACAGTGAAGCCAGCATGCCTGAGGAGCACAGCAGCCAAATTAGTAACTGTGCATTTCCCCCGTGGCTCCTAAACAACAGCCATACGTCCTTCACTTTAATTAAGATTAGGTTTTCGCTCCCTCTCCTCCTTCCCACCGTTTCTCTTTTACACGTCAACCTTTACTACTTCCCTCTCTTTTCCACTGCTCCTCTCCTCTGAGTGCTTCGCCCACCCCACCCACCCTCTCTCCTTCCCTCCGCGTCCTCTGGTTTTCTTTGATTGTCTCTCCGTCACCTGGCTGAGGCACGTCCCTCCCCCCCGCCTCCCCCCCCCCCCCTCCTTCGCCGTGTCTCATTTGTCTCGCTCCGCCCGGTCTGGCGCGTGCCGCACGGCGGCGGAATATTTGCCCGGCTAAAATGAAGGGGGGGGAGCATAAGGCTGCAGTCTGTAGCCTCCGTGTTAACCCAGTAATGATCTACGTCCACTCAGCGTCGCGTTACCTTGCCATCGCCCCCCGGGGGTCACGCCAAGCTCAGGCGCTGATGGTCCATCTGTTACGGAGATAAAGAGGCAAATGAGGCTGCTTTGTAATGTAGTGTGACCCTGTCAGACTGACGCAGTCTGGGGCTAACGCAGGCAGCGAGGCAGTTAGGGAACCTGCAACAAAATAAGGGGAGCTGGGTTATAGCTCATTAATCTGTATCAGCAGTTAATTTGCAGACGAACAGAGGAAAAGCTGATAACAGAGCAGCGGGAGACTTTTCCACTCTCCCCGTGCCCAACATCTAACCGGGGGTAGAGGCCTTTGATATCGAAAAAGCAACCCTCGCTCAGTCTCATTTTTGTCTGAGAGAAATGTGCCCGCTTTGATGTCGCTGATCATTTATAGACCATCAGAACATTGTCTCTCCTGTAGTCTGTTTACGCTTTGCTTTTTTTTTTTTTTTTTTTCATTTACTCTTTCAAAGAGGGGGGCTCAGGGAAGAAGGATGCAGGGATGAAAAGTGAAGAACGGTGGGTGGGGAAGTGTGTGTGTGTGTGTGTGGGGGGGGGGCAGACTCACGATGGCCATGAGGGGTCTTCAAACAGATATATGACAGATATGAAGGGGGGGGAGAAAGAAGATAAGAAATAAGGAGGCAAAACTAGCCATCAGACTGTCGTCATGGAAACAGTGACCCTGTGCAGAAAGTAAGAAGAGGTAGATTCCTCTCGCTTTGGTCTCTGCGCAACGAGCGTATTTGAATTTCCCACTGGTCGATTTCACAAATGCGACAGATTAGTCGACGGCGTGTGCATTTACAAATGGACTCGATGAGATTCGACAAGTTGCGTGACGTCAGCTTTTTTTATCAGAGCGGCGCGCCGTTTCAGGTTTGCAATTGAAATATCGCCCGGCAACGGTGTGAAGAATGTGACGCCGCCGTCCGGGAGCTCCTCTCGCGTTATTGATTTTCACCCCGGTGAAGACAGCTTGCCGTAGAAAGCACCGTCGCTCACGCGAAAATCATGCCGCCTGTAATCGCTCAGTCTCTTAAATGTATTTTTGATGCTATACCATGGAGGAATGGCGAGCAGAGCCGGTGGAGGTGAATTATACATTCAAAAGGCAGGTCATGTGTGCTGAGGTGGGGGAAAGTGGAGCAGGAACAAGGCAAACACAAACCTATTCATCCTTCATTCAGCCTTTCACCGAGCGCTGCGAGAGATGAAAGGAGGCGCAGTCATTGGTCACGTCGTGGAGTGAACCATTCTTTCCCTTTCCACTGTTTTCTTTTTTCAATGCTCAAATCCTTTTCGATGCTTTCGGTGGCTTAATGATTCAATGTTGACGCTGGCTACAGTGAAAAAATAAAAAAAAGGTTGATTTTTTTTTAATATATATTTGGGGATGAGGGTTGTGAGCTGTTCATAATGAATGGGATATATCAGTATTGGTTTTTGCTGGAGCCGGATGGCTCTATGTGGAGAGATATTTGAATGCCAGAATGAAATTAAGCCTCTGACCCGCAGAATGTTGGACTTGAAATACCAGCAGAGTGAGCTTGATTTTTTGTGTGCAAAACCCCGCCCAAGCCAAGGTGATCAAATTATTGTGTGTTATCTGCCAACTGTCTATGTATAGGGAGGATTACTGTATGTGGTAATATTCCCTCTCATTTTTGGAGAGAATAATCATCAAATGGTTACATTTATACGAAAAAAAAAATATTTTCAAAAACATAACGCAAAAAAAAAAAGATCTTCAGATCATAATTTTACATGTGCTTCAATTGTTAAAAAAAAGACAAAAAAGCTAAAGAAAAACAAGAAAAAAAAATAAGAGACTGTGCTTGTAAGAAGTCCAACTAATTTCTCTGAGGATGATGTTCAATTATTGATACCTGAGATTGTAGTTCATACTGTACATGAATACAAATAAAATTGCAATTCTTTTTCCAATAGATTCCATAGAGCTTGTTATTGACAGCGATGTCGTCATCCCTTCTTTCTCATTTGCACATGAAAACTTGTGCTAAAATATTCAAACAAAGGCGGATTACTGAGCTGCTCCCGGAATGCCGAAGTGCGAAGGATGTGCCGTGAAGAAATGTGCGAGCTTATTTTATGGAGGTCAGAGGAGGGAAGTGGATCTCTGAGAGAGAAAGGAACTGATCTCTCTGGGTGATCACACATGGGGAGTCGGATTCTTTTATCCAATTCCAATCACTCTGTCTGACAGAATCATTTGATTCAAGCGGGCAAATTTGTGAATTTTATAACCGACAGCAGCATAGTGTGCTGAAGAGATAACAGGCTTTTGCAGGTTAAGTTAGTGTCAAACTGGATTCTCAGACGAGAACCGATGGGACTTTGGATTATTGCATCAACAACATCAACAAAAAACAGCTGTCTGTGACAAACACGTTATGATATTAACAGTTTTTATTAATCTTCACAAATGAAAACCTCCTTTAGGATTTTTTAAGAGGGTGGGCAGCCGTAAAAAGCTAATGGAGAGGCCGACTAGTGGGCACGATCACATAATAAGTCTCAATTAACCACATTTTAGCAACCGCCTTTTTCAGACAGCTTAAAAGTACAAGAGAGTTCCACTGAAGTATTTCACGTCGTTAAACAAAACAATAAAGTCTCTCAATCCTGTGTTAACCAGCTTAGTTAAGGCGTCCAACCAAAAAAACAACAATCAATTAAACTGATTGTCTGCAGGAAGCAATGACGATTTGAGCAAAAAAAGATATAAAGACGAGATATCGCACTTTTGCTTTGCATTACGACACCTCAGCGATCCAAATAGCACAAAATGTCTCTGAATCACAATGGCTCCACTCGCCCTGTGCTCGATGGGCTGCCGCGCAAAGATTGGGCGAGGGGGGAGGAGGGTGCCGGCTCCGTTCAGACACCTACTACGGTCAGCCTCAAACAAAGGGATCATTAATTCATCCGCTAACTGATTAGTATTTATTCAGGAGATGACACCCTCAGCCTCGGCGAGATGACGCCGCACCCGATCCCCGAACTGAGCGATGGTCTCATCCCTTCCCAGACAGTGTGAGTGGGTCTACTGTACGTGCGAGATGGAAGTATATTCACAAGCCGCGAATCAGATGATCATCCAATTTCTGTGGGTTTAGAGGCGGATGTCTTTTTTTTTACGCACTCCTTTGTTTGGCAGAGCCTCCATTTTATTCCATTCCATTTCCAGTGTGTCGCGGCGAGGGCAGAGTCCCAGTACTTGTGAGCATAATCTGACAAGGACAGAAGAAAGGGGCTGAAAATAAAGAGCCCAGGCTGCTCCTTTGTGGCTTTGAGGCTTTGTGCGGTGCGTTCGTGTGCTGGTGCGGAGAAACTGGACATCTACACTTCGGTGACTACGCTGCATTCGCTGCAGAAAGACAGGCGGTGCAGCCACTTGCTCGCAGGATATTCGCAGTTTTTTTTCTTATTAAAAACACAGCGAAGTCTCAGATGTCGGAGGTACCTGTGTGGCACATAAATATACAACAACAACAACAAGCGAGGCACACAGCTTCCCCGGAGAGGACTCTTTTTAACCGGATAAAGAAAGCCGTGGCATTGAGGCAAAAAACTGCCTTCAAGGAGAAAGCACCACCGGAGGGTTGCTACGGGGAGTAGTTTAAAAAAAACATCATCTGAAATACGAGACAGCGAGTCCACTACAGGTTCACTCAAGGCCTGAAAACCAATAAGCCATCAGCAACATTATCAGCAGCGCTGACTTTTCTTCTGCACCGTCAGTGAGAGAGACGCTCAAAGACGACGTTGACATCCTGAGGAAGAAAAAAAGGTAATGATGTCTTCTCTTTTTTTTGCCTTGAGGAGCTTTCGGTTTGATGAGTAATATTAGGTCAATAACAGGAATGTGTCAGTCAGGCTAAAAACAAAGCAACTAATGCATCATCGCAACGCGGCTCAGAATATCGGAAGGATTCGACAGCCACTGGTGCATCCAAGGCTTGAAGGGTCATCAACACCCCACACAGCAGTTCCTTGCAGGCAAGGTCCTTTCTATCAGGTAGCCGTACGTCCGGCTGCCGACCGACACGGCGATCGCTGAACGGGAAAAAAAACGCCTCCCTCTGCGGCTCGCGGTGCCGCACGCCTCCTCCCACAGTATGCAAATGCGATTTTGTCCTGCCGCTCCTCTGCATTCGCTCGCTCGCGGCACCGCGCGGGCCTCCGCAAGATGGCCCGCTACCTACGAGCGGGGCTCGAGCGGGGCGTTGGACGATTCTCCGAAGGCCCACGGGGCTCGCAAAACAAAGCGCGCCGCGAAGGATAAAGAAGACGCAATGCAGAGGAGGGATTGTGTCTATCTGGGAACTCGTATCTCAGATGCGTGGTCTTTAATGCCGTCGGAGAAGCCCTGTCGAGAAAGTACAACATGCGTTACGAAAGAAACAAAAGTCGATGTCCCGTAAACGATTGGATTTGGCTGGCAAAATGTCCTCCCAAATGTAGACTTTCATTCTAACACTTTGGCTTTTGTAGAAGGATGAGCTTTTTGTGGTGGTTCTTTGTGAAAGGCTGTGCCAGGCGAGAACGGGCTTCGGGGAACGCCCGGATACAAAGTAATCCGGGTGCGTGACCCGCAGGCCGTGATTACTTCATTTTTTTTGGCACTCACTCCGCCTCCACTGTGGGAAATTAAAAAGCACGCTTTTGTGTTATAATATATTCTACTGCGGTTCGCGACACCCAAAACGGGGGGAAAGCGCTGATTTGCGGCCCTTTTTTATTAGACATCGCTAATGTCCCCTTTCAGGAGGGCTGCGTTCAGGAGGTCTAGTTCTAAGAGAAGACAGCCGGGTTAAACGGACCCACGGCAAGGTGTGTAAACAGATGGTTATCCACTCAAGTGCTGTTGTCTGTAATCAGGAATGTAATAACACCTGTTACGCAGAACACAGTCGAACAGAGAGGCAAAGAGAGAGAATGAGATGTGATAGACGAGTCCATTTCGTGCTGTGCTGCTGGCCCACATCCCTCAGGCACCAAACCGTGTAAGTGCATCATCGCCGGTTGTTATCCGGCGCGGGAAGCTTGACCTTCGACTGATATTAGTAAATGAGATGCAAAGAGAAAATTGGATAAGAAACGTCAAAATCTAGTTTCGTATTCAGTGACTGAAGCGGCCACATTTCTACCGGTAAGAGTAAGTCAATGTGGAACAAATGAGGGCCAAGGACCAACGTTGTGTTTCCAGGCTCCAATAGGTGCCTCGCTATATATTTTGGCATCTCTCGCAGTGTGAAGTAGCAATAGACATTTATCTGCACAGACTGCCAAGTGCATGAGGGTTTTATGGGGAAAAAAATGTTCACGTGGCCTCAATACTCGAGTGTGTGAGCTGCCAAACGTTTGCGTATGTGGTTTGATTAATATGCTAGTTAATGGATAATTCATCACAACATCCAGCCGAAGCAAAAACCTGAAAAAAAAGCGATTCAGAAGGTAACATCATTCCGACTTTGAAGGCTTATGTCGCGGCACAGATACCCACTTGTACAGTTTTTACGGAGTTTTGTTCAGTCACAGCTGAACAGGCGCTGGATGTTTCCTGTTATCGCAGACGCCCCGCGGCGAAAGCAGCTCAGACGCCTCGACATTGGAACCTCTGCTGCCAGATAGGACGGGGACGGATGGCTGTCGTCCACACGGCGCTGCAATTAGGAGGCACAAGCGGCCGCCGCGTGTTTCCTTGACAGCAGCCAATCCCACTTCCACCTACAACACCATCCAACGCTGCAGCCAACGATCCAGGGGCGGGTTCGAGCACGCCGCCGGCAGCGGCAGCGGCAGCGCCTCCGTCTGAATGTGATACGCGCTCAACGGGCCTCTGCGACTCAGGTGGGCTGAGAATCTAAACCGCGTGTTGCAGCTCCAGAAATGAGCCCTCCTTGAGAGAGCGAGAGCTTAAAAACAGGCTGCCGGTGTCAGCCGATGATGCTCTTTGGGGTGGAGAAGACATCTGCTCGCCTTAATCTGTACTAGTGTGCGTGAATGCTGCTACAAAAACCTCAAGCGGCTAAATCTGACAGGGTGAGCATCAACTGATGAGGGGAAAAAATAAGCGCTTTTGTTTATTTAGGACCTTTCAAGGGATAAACACGAAGTGCATTTTCAAAGGAGAAAAAAAATAAGAATATTTCCAGACTTGAATTCCAATATTTCATATTGTGCTGCGCTTCTTTTCATATCTGAGCTGCTCCTCAGCGGTGTTTACCTGTAAACAAACAACAAAAGCAACGAATATTGCTAAATGGCCTTTAGAGCACACACTGGCATTTACTTACCGGGGCTTGTATCAAAATCAAAATGGTTTTATCTGGGAGTGCGAGGAAGCGGAGGCAACGCCGATCGGCTAATTGGTGCTGACAAATTGGAAGCGAGTCCAACGCAAGACGAGCTCGACACATCCGGTGGAGGGAAAGCCGTGACGGGACCTCACGCGTGGCGCAGACAAGTGGCATATTCCGCATTTTAAACACACCGAGAGGCGCGTTGAGGCCTGAGATGAGCCTCGCCGTGCTGCCGTTCAGACAAAAAGTTTTGAAAAAGTCCAAATATCCTTCTTCACTCACATGTCATATCAGCGCAAATGTAATATTTGAGTAAGTTGGGAGATTCATCGATTCCCCGCCAGATATTTGCAGCTGCTCGGGACAGTTTTTATTTCTAGTCTCGGCGAGCGGGCGGGCCGCCGCGAGCTCGGATGCACCAGCAAGCCGTTTATGCTGAACACGTGTTTACCCGCGTGCCCCTTCTTCATGCTCTTTGACCGCTGGGCCGGGGAAACAACCCCCACCCCCCCCCCCCCTACCCTCGAGCTGCGTTCCAGCAGCGACGAGCTCCGGGTCCCCGATGGCTTGTGTCCTTATGACGGCGGAGGCAAAATGAAATATCGATCAGCCCTGCGGGGAG